CAATAACACATTAAATCTTCTCACCTTATTTTTATGAGTATAAACTCCATACTATTATATGCTGTAATCTGAAATGTCTAGTTTCTCAACACAATTGGTGTTTTGTAACTGCAATATGGAAGAGTCTTCAGTCTACAAGAGTGAACAAACAAAACTGAGCACATCTAGAATATAAAGAAGAACAGCTTTTTTTAATAACTGCAACTAGCAATCCTGTCAATTTCAGATTATAGCAATTTCAGATTATTTCAAGCATACAAAAGTTGACCATCCATGTGTACAGATGTGACCGGTGTGTACCAAAAAAGAGACAACGGTGACCATGTTCATGCAATCAAAGCCTTGTCCCCTTTTTTGTGACATGCATTAAAACATACACTTTGATCATAGACTGAAATTTCTTTTTTAAGCCCCTTCTGTGGATGCTCCTGCATAGGCCAATACTTCCTAGGCATCTGCAGGTAGGGATAGCAAAGGAACCATGTTTTACTATAAATCGTGAATGATTAAAGTCGGCAGTAGTAAGGATGAATAATGGAATGTTCCCATATAGGATAAGCATGGGCTAGGAAGTCTAAACAATAGGATACTCTTGAATGGATTACTGATTATATTTCTTTCTAGTAAACCCACTAACATTGTCAATATTACTGGAGAAAATTCAACTAACTGAAATTATAGAAATCAATGTTTGGGGGAGAATTTCTAACTCATTAATCTGGATTTTCATTTGTAACTAAAGTAGATAATGTTCTTCAAAATTAAATCTTTTAATAACAGTTTCTGATTCTCTTGAAAAATATAATCTTTTCTTCCAGACTAAATTAAGGGCTTGAGTTGCACAACATTTAATTGTTAGTACCAATAAATTAGGGTAAGATTAGTGTGATATACTGGTTAAAAACACTGTGATTTTAATGTGCCCCTATTCCCCAGTATGGAATACCTATGAATGTCAGTTTTTCCATGGTCACTTCCTTTGATGCCTGCCCAAAAAAAAGGTTTCATCATGCTGTTTATATTTTTTAAGTATTTTAAGGTTAACAACTGGGAAACAGACATGGCACAAAGCAAAGAAACGTCCTCCAGCATTATTTCTGTGAATCCACACACAGTATGTCTAAAGTGGCTCTTACAGAAAATAAGAATAATAAATTGCAATCCACTGTCTTTTTGTGTTAACGCTTCTAAAAAAAGACTAATATAAGATAGGGATAATAGGTAATGTCTTTGAGTATGGAAACAAAGAAGTACCAGTCAATATTTTAGCAAAATAATGCTTTATCATTCTTCTCTATTTTTGCAAATAAGCAAAGGAGCCATTTTGAAAGAGGACTTCTCAACATGTTCTATTGGAAGTGTATTTAGCTGTATATTTGACTGTCTTTCAAATTGTGGAAATAGCTTACTTGCTAAAACAAGCATAATGCTTTGAGTAATGAATAATATACATGCATGCCTCTCCTATTTTGCTATCTGAAAATGCTATTTTTAATCTTTTACATTATTCAGGAGCAACTTCTTTATCATTGATAGAAAATAAATGCTAAATATACAGTCCAGTTTTCAATACATACTAGATTAGTTTCCCCAGCCTAGTGGCCTCTACAATAGCATTGCATTTCCCAAAATGTTACTTTACATATCAAATGCATGCTGGTTTTGTCCCACTAAAGTAAAACAAAAGTTCATGGAGTTAAATATTTATAGTGAACATCTGAGTTTTGAACAACTTGCAAAGATTATTATAATTATTAGCATTATGTTATTTTTTTACTTATACAATAATCATATATTGCTTTCTCATAGAGAATTAAGACAATAAACCAACCAGGAAGGATAAATTATTCAAAATAGATAGGCAGCTGGAAAAAATTCTCACTCTAACACCCATAGTCTATCTTACAACTTCTTTTAATACAGTAAAGGGGGAATCTTAACCTTTTGTTTGTTTTTTTTAAAAATTCTATCCTTCTCAAAAATGAACTCATGGCAGCTGATCTCTCAAAGTTTAAAAACAATAGTTAAAAGTAAGGGAGGTCTGTTTAGTTACTGTCCATGCCCTATAGAAAAAGTATTGATATAAAATTATTGATACACTTGAATATTAACGCTATTATATAAATGCCAGATGGGGACTAAGAGGTTTCTGTTTCTTCCTTAATATCAGTCCTTCAAAGCATGCTTTTAGAAGTTATACTGATGTTTTAGGGGCTACACACAATTTGTTTCTTTTACTTTATACAAATGGTGACACCTGAAATGATATTCCCTTTCATTAAAATTAGTTGATTTTAAGTTAAAGTGGATGTATTTTTTAAAACTGTGTTATGTATGTATGTATGTATGTAAGTATGTATGTATGTATGTTTGTGAAATCGGATATAGAAACTGATTTGACAACTTTTATATTTTAAGGCTTTTTTTATTATCAGCTTGGTGAAGCTTACTAAAAGAGACACTTCTTTTCACATCCCACTCTTGGCACCTCGGGGTTCTCTTTTAGCCATATCAGCCTAATGGAATTAAGGCTGACATGTTTCAAGTCCATTCCTTTGTAAAAGGAATGCAAATCAAAGTCTTAGATTTCTTCTGTAAAAAACAAAATAGTAACAACAACAACAACCCCCTTGAGCCATCTGTGACTTAAAAATTTTCCTCGATCCTTTTACACGTCTGTATAAAGACAATTAAAAAGGGAGCACAACAGAACAAATCAACTCAGCTCTAAAATCTATTGCTGCACATGAAATGATGGAGCCTCACTGAACGGGAGTGTGACCCTGTGGCTTCTTGCAGTTTGAAGCTAATTGCTTTGGTCAGGATGGGAACGTCTGGAGGTCCACTGCAGTGTCCCACCAGCAAGGCTTCAGTAACTGAGCTGGCTGGCAGAGCATGAGCCCACTTTGTAGTGACACAGCAGGCTTAGACACCACCTATTCTGCTTTCGAAACTGTCATACATAACAACTTTATTGTGCTAAATTGAACTTGAAAGCAACCAAAGGCTATGAGAAGGCTATGAGAAAAGCATGCTGTCAGTGCTGGCAAAGGCTGACCTGGAGAGTGGGCTCAGAGACAGGAGAATAAAAGATCAGGGCCCATGAACACAGCATATTGTTTCATTTTAAAGCATGATTCCCATACCCAAGAAAATAGTAAATGTGATGTAAATTTATTTAAATAGATTCCACTAGTAAAAAGTTTGCCAGCCGCTCTTATCCAACTTTCCCAGCTTCCTGATTCGTTACATACAGTGGGAATATAATGACATATAGCCATCATTGTAACAGCTTCTTTGCACAGGCACAATGATGATTAATAGCTAGCAGCAAATTTTCACATGGGCTCTAAAGCACTATAGTACTAAGCAGCTAAACACTCCCAAATCCCCCTTTTCTGTTTTTCTGAAAAGTCCTCTACTTGTACCTTGCAGTTATGAACAAAGCCTATCTTAATTCCAATCAGCTTTTCTCCATTCAAAGAGATCTTCTCTTTTTCATAATTGATTCATGTGCATTTTTAGTCCTTCAACACGCCTGAGCTATTTTTCTCCTTTTTTGTGTACTTTTCAGCTAAGCAGAATCATTTAAGCCATAATTTGTTTTTTTTAAAGTCATGAATAGATTTTTTTCAATTAGTTCAAGTTTAGTTTTTTTTTAAAGTAGGGTAATGCAAAACTGAAGAAAATAACTCTACTTCCTGAGGTCTTTGAAATGAGTTGCCTTCAGGGTCTGAGGCAGGAGCTCAGACTAAAATTCTTGCAAAGATAAGTCAAGGATTTGAGAGCAACAATAATACTAGTTCTGCTTAGTATACTGGTTCCTATTCCCAGGAAAAGCTTAGCTGAGAAGGCAGAATAGAGAGTTTCTTTATTTTTCTAACACTTTGGGAAATGTTAACTTAATAGACAAAAACAAATTTGAAGGTGTTTTAGGTTTGTATGTTTATTATACCTTTAAAATAGAACAAGGCTGTCCTATTATTTCAGAATTACTTGATTTTCTACAGCTAGCCAGTTTGCGTAGAAATTATGTATCATACAGTACAACCAAAGTCCACATTTTGCATTCAGATTTAGATGCTTTTCATATTTGTAATAATTTTGTTTGGGGAGCTATTTTGTCGTTACATCTGCATGAGAAATGCAATTTTTTTCTGAGTTGTGTTTTCAATCTATTCACCATTAACAAAAACATTGTGACTAATGTAACTTGGGGATTATTGTTGTCCAAGTGTTGTCATACATTCTTAATATTAAATCGCAAACAATTTTAGGTATACTATATTTTTAGATTCTTTTTTATATCTCTGTTGAGCAGCACTATACATATATACTAAGTCAATTAATTTAAGAATTATTTTATAGAAGATTACTGAATGATGTGCTGTTGAGCCAACAGAAAAGTTAAAATCAATATATTTTTAAATCAGGTGTAATGTTATTACCTTAACTGCAGTGATTTAATCATGAGTTAGTTTGGAATCATTGGAAATTACTTTGGAGAAAATGAGAAATTGGAAATTACTTTGGAGAAAAAGTTGTGCAAATTAATTTAAATCTGAATCATCATTATATCATATTTTTGTATACTATTAAGAACTTGATAAATGAAACAGAAATTTTCAATGTTTTTATATGTTATAATATAAAGGATAGGTGTTTTCTAGACAATTTATCTGAGAATGCAAACCTCAGATCAAATCTTCATTATGGTCATAGACCAGTACATAACCTGGGAAGTGCATTTCCCCTTCAGCTCCCAACTTTGGGCTTACTTGAGTGTCTCTGATGGCTCAAGCATTTCTGAGTCTTTTTTATTTTTAAAGGACTGAATTTCACTGCCATTTTTTTCTAATCCAATTTAAGTGATTTACTCTATTTTTAAAACCCTGAAATTTTGGGGATCTAACTATATGAAGACAGATCTTTTCTCATACAGCCAATTTATGATCTAAGATTTTTGTATAAGCTCCTATTTTGCATTCTTATCTTTCCAGAGATGGTAAGAATAAGCAGCTGAATTCTTGAATGAGTTTGTATTCTGGAATGGCTTCTTCAAAGAGGTAAACCTGGACATTATGAGATTCTGGTAGCAATTAATATTTTTGTAGTTGACATTTTAGAGGATTATATTGCATCATTTCATTGTCCTTTTATTTATTGTTATGAGATATAGTGTGTATTGTATTCATATTTAGTTTAAGTAATTATACATATTGTATACCACAATGGAAGCCACTGGATGCAGAACTCTTGCAAATTTAAAGAAGGAACTTCATCTTCTTTCATCCATCTCAAAGATCTGACAGTCAAAAATTTCAGATCTGAAAACTGCAACAAAAACAACAATAAAAATAGCTGCACACATTTAAGATGTGCAATTTTGAATTGAACTTAAGAAAAAAGTGTTTTGCAATGAGAGATAGTATTTGAATAGCAATTCTTTTAGAGAAGCTTCTTTTAAAGCAGCACTTGGCTGTAACACCAAATGATTTTAATACAGTTCCCTTTGATTAATACTAGTGATGAAAGGAAATAAGCCTAGGGGATATATGCCATGCAATATAAATTCTCAAGGAAAGCAAAACTAGCTTTTTAGCTGCAACCACAATGTGTCATGACATTTGCATCACTGAGAGACATTATAGACAGTTTTCTCAAGTTTATATTATCATCTCTAGTCCATTATTTTTGTTTCATTTAAATTGCTCAGAATATAAGAATTGTATTTTCTTATACATTGTAGAATATATATTACATTAGTCATTAAATACAAAATACTATCTCACCCACAAAAACAAAATTCTGAAACTGCATATAAATCAATGTAAAATGTTCATTGGTTATGAATCCAAAATTTCTCAGACAAAATAACAAACCTAAATGATGTCCCAGGGTATCATATTTTGCATTCAGAGCTCTGAGATCATTCCAAAGGATATAAAATCTTATATAGCTAAAGAAGTCCCCAATGAATGCACACTGAAAAGATCTATGAGAGTAGTTGGCTACAGGAAATGTGTAGCATACCTTCTTGATGTTTTCTGGTGGGTGAGTATGTGAATAACTCTTATAAGGGACTCACAATCTTAAGCCACATACTCTTATAGGGATAAAGTAATAATTGATAGATGCATTACTTTATTTTTCTTAAAGACAAATCAAAATATTTACTTCTGCTTTGAATGGAATACATTCTTAAAATGCACACTGGGCTTCAGTTTTGATAATATAATTTATTCATTAAAACTTACATGAAGGTTAAAAGAATATAGCCTTTCTCAATCTGATATCCTTCAGATATGTTAGCATGCCAGTTTCAAGAATCCATAATTAGTACAACTGTATTGACTGTAAATTTGTATACCATATTTCCTCAGTCTAGTCTGCCTCACAGGGACCAAATTGGATGAGAATAATATATAACCTCACAATACTAGCAAGATATTTCTTGTATTGAATGATTCACATCAAAAATATCCAAGTAAAATAGGAAAATGTGCATAGCTGGAAAAACATGTTGCTTATTATATATGTGAAGACTATTGTCTGGACAATGCTTAACAATCATGTGAAAGTTGTGTATTGGAAGGCAATGAATGAAATGTCTGCAAATGCTTAAATACGGTTATTCAGATTAACTTGATATATTTTGCTGTTGATGTTATGTCAGTAATTCTACACATTCATCAGTGAAACCAATTTATTTATTTATTTATATTTGTATTTCATATTTCTAAACCATTTTCAAGAACTTTTCATTGTTATTTTTTCTGCTTACATATTCTGTCTATGCTTTATTTTAGCTTTATTATATGTTGCAATGTGTTCTCTCTCTCTCTCTCTCTCTCTCTCTCTCACACACACACACACAGAGAGAGAGAGAGAGAGAGAACACATTGCAATATATAATAAAGTTAAAATAAAGCATAGACAGAATATCTAAGCAGAAAAAAATAACAGTGAAAAGTTCTTAAAGAATTCCTAGGAGAAATTTTTTTTATTCCATACATGTAAAATATAATGTAGCCTCCAGATGAACTTCTTTGGGAGAAAACGTCTACAGTCTGATCTTCTTTTGTTGGTAGGGGCACTTAGACAAGAGCTTCAGTTGATGACCTTGTAATATGAGGCTTAATTTCAAGTAACATGTTTGGAGTTATTTGGGTCTTATTTTCTAATTGTAGAAGTGGGGTTCTGTCATATCACTGTTGTATCAAATCAGTCTCTGTTAACCGATCAGATGACCTATTTGGACTACAATTGCCCAATCCTTTTGCAAAAAACAGCATTACAAGAACTCAGCAGATTACCAGAGATTATTACAAAGTTTATTTCTGTCCCAGGCATTCTGGTGATAATGTCCATAGATAATAGATTTCACATTTCCATCATTTTCAATAGGATGATGTAATTTGTAGGTACCAACATAAATTAAGGGTTGTCTCATGCCATGTATACTTGAAATAACAAGGCAGTTATGAGCACCTTTAAACTCTGAACCCTAGTAATATAGAACCTATGTGCCCCACATTTTCTGAAATCTGTACCACCACACTGAATTTTGATGGCACAACTAACATGCAGTTATATTTCTAAACTAGGACAATATATGACAGTATCATTCAGTCCCTCAACCATATGTATTTGCAGCTAGCTGTAATAATGAACAATAGTAACATGTGCATGACATCATAGTGCAACCCATACCCTTTCATATTTGCCTTCTGATACTGGATTTCCATTAAATCATGGGCTTTGGGTCATAATGTTATGAAGTATATTTTATCAACTGTCACCCTTTTTTCTGCCCTTCCCCCCCACGCTTTGTTATTTGTAATTTTAATTGAGTCTTTGTGTGGGGATAGTGTATTGCTTTCCACATGCCATTACAACACTATTTGACCCTTATGACATTCCAGGTAGAGTGATTTTTTTTTTTTTGCTAGCTACTAATGTCTGTCCTCAGAAAACCTGAACTCTTTGTTTTTGTTTCTTTTCAGCTAGTCTATTAATACTAGACCATCATTCAGAAAACAATCTAGACTCTGAAAGCAAAATATTCAGTAAGCTTAGACACAAAAAGCTGTTAGTGTTTTGCTAAAGTTAGACTGTGTTTGTACAAATAAAGGGGAATATAAATAAATAAGCACACAGAAGATTAATATGTGGGAAATTATTTGTAGTGCTTCAAATTCTGATATAATGATATTACTATAAACAAAAATGTGAAATCACAGTTGCCAGTTCTTTAGCTAGTGTTGGCTTTTATAAACACCAAATTCTTCCCAAGAACCTAGGATGTCCTTATATATTGGCACAGTGTATGTGTGGTTCCAAATAGTGTACTCTTTTATAATTGACAGATGGAAATTTTTCAAATGCTGTCCAAAATTTTCTTTATGGCAGCTTGTATGTTGATAACCATGGGACTACCTTGGCCAGTTTATACCATAAAATTTCGATTTCAGTTTTGAACTCTGTGATTTTCTCCAATTCTTTGTCTTCTATATTCTGTTAAACTCTGGTATCAAATTAATTATCCACATTTTCTTCCTTTCAACCACGTTAAATCTCATATATTATGAGCCAAGACTTTTTCAGTTTGTTTTTGTAAATCCCACAATATTTGAACCAGCCATTTTTTATTTATTATTCTTATCTTTTATTGAACAGTCAGCCAGATGTTTAGACTGGGTTTGGCATTTTTATCCACCTATTGAGTCTTTCCTAAGGAACTGGATGAGAAGATTTTTTAAAATGATATTAAGATGTAAGTTGTTTCAAATAAAGTTTCCTTTTGGTATTGATGATGGTGCTCAAGTGGTGTTTCAGTTGTTTTGGGATTGCATCCAAGGCGCCTATTATCTTACATATTATCCTTGCTTCCCTTTGCCACAGTCATTCTACTTCTATTTGCAGGTCTTTGAAGGTTATTTTCTTCAGTTCTTTCTCTTTTATTCAGCTGTCTCCAGGTAGTGCAATGTCCACTATCCAGACTTTTTATATCTGTCTTATTGACAATTGTTAAGTCTAGGCACAGGTTGGCAACCTGCGGCTCCGGAGCCACATGCGGGTCTTTGAGCCTTACCCTGTGGCTCCCAGCCTCCTCTGCCATTTGCAGAGAGAGACAGAGACAGAGATAGGCACTTGCGCTTCTCTCTCTCTCTCTCTCTCTCTCTCTCAGTGTGTGTGTGTGTGTGTGTGTGTGTGTGTGTGTGTGTGTGTGTGTAAAAAAGAGAATGGATTCACGGTGTTCTCTGACAAGCTGAAAAGCTTATTGGCCAGGGCTCCTCCCTTTGCTGCGTCTCTGCAGGAAGCAGGAAACAGGAAGCAGGAAGGGCAGGAGAGAGCTAGCTAGCCCAGCTATGCTGACTCAGGAATTCTGGGAAGTCCATGAGTCATAAAAGAGCCAAGATTGCCTACCCCTGAGCTTGTTGGAGAACAGCTTGAAGCCAGGTTGCCAGGTGAGCAGAAGATCGGAGAGAGGGAGACAAAGAGAGAGAGAGAGGAAAGAGAGAGGGAGAGGAGAGAGAGACAGAGAGAGAGACCCTTTTGACATCTAAAATGAAGATAACACTGCATATATCCTTTATATCATAAAGATAAAAAAGGATATATGCATTGTTATCTTCATTTTAGATATCAAAAGGGTTTTGCGGCTCCCAGTGTTTTGTTTTCGGTGGGAAATGGGTCCAAGTGGCTCTTTGAGTGTTTTGGGTTGCCTACCCCTGGTCTAGGATGTTGTGTGGCAGATGCTTCTCTATTTGCATTCTAAAGTCCCAGAGCTCTTTAGCTTTTTTGTTTTCTATTACTTTGTCTATTTTGTGATCTCACTGGTTCTTGCTTGGAACCAAATGGTATTTCTTGCAGATATTCCTGTGCAGCATTGTTGCTACTTTGTCATGCAGTTGTCTGTGGTCAGTCTGTGCAATGTTCTTGCAGCAGCTAACTAGGTGGTCCACTGTTATTATTAAGCTGTATTAAATCTATCTGTACATTCTTTATAAATACATTCAATCTAGAGTTCTAAATGGCATGGAAAGCAGTGTCCTCTACTGTGGAAAGGATAAAGAAATAATGATGAAGAGATGGACTAGCATGGTTCAGTGTCAGATATGACTTGGTGATGGTCTAAAGCAGTGGTTCTCAACCTTTCTAATGCCGTGACCCCATAATACAGTTCCCCATGTTGTGGTGACCCCCAACCACTTATACATCACCGGGTGCCAGGGGCGTGGCCAAAGAAAAGGGGGAAAAAATGACAGACAGCCTTGTTTGGCGACCCCCGTGAAATGGTCGTTCGACCCCAAATGGGGTCCCGACCCACAGGTTGAGAACCACTGGTCTAAAGTCACTGTATAAAGCTTGGTGGCCCCTTGTTAAAAGGCTACACCAGAAGGTGTCACCAAAGTTCATACCAAAATTGGACCTTGGTTTGCCACAAAAATTTAAAAACATATATGCATTTTAATTATTTAATAATGAGAGTAATGGGAGCTTGCTGTAGGTCATTCTAAGCGGGTGATTAAGTTGTTTGATTGTTGTCTTGTTTTATTATTTTATAGTTCTATTATTTTTTATAATTATTGGGTTTTATTGCTATTATGAGCCTCCCAGAGTTGTTTTAAGATGGGTGGCAATGCAAATCTTTTAAATAAAGAAAATAAAGATATTTAAAATGAAAAATACAAATTATTTTCAAGTGAATGGTTGTAAGACAGGTGACATATAAATTTAATAAATAAACAGATTTTTAGAGTATTGCTGTTTTGGGGGAGGAGGCTCTAATGATATATATTGAATCTGAGATTCATCTGCAAGAGGGACATTAATTAGCTTTAATAATCTATTCAGGGACAGATACATGATATCTATATATCTCGCTTTCTCTTTCTCTCTCACACACACATACATACCATATGTGTAAATCCATAAATATACACTCTTTCAGGAAAAATATTTAAAGAACTGAACTAAACAATTATGTGAATAAGCTAATATCAACAGCAACTGGGAAGATATGCTATCAATAATCTATTCCATGTTTCTCTTTCTCATGCACACAAAGGAGGTGTTGCTAAAACACCTCTTGTGGGAATGATGTAGATTGTAGCATCAAAAAAGCAAGTTTTGAAGACGTGGGAAAACCAACTGTTAAAATCAAGAATATGGAAGTAAAATTTACTAAGATATAATTGTTTGTTGTTATTCCCAGTCTTTTGTTAGTCCTGTTATTGATTTTTTATAAAACACTGAGTCATATTTTATACACAATATTTATTTGTTCTTGTTTTTACAGTAATCAGTCAGTTGGAAATGGTAAAAAATGGAAGTGAGGCTTTCTATACAGAACTGCTTTGGAAAGATTGATATAAAGTAATTTTGGAGATATTAAATGAAAGACAAGGTAATATCAAAGTCATCCTGCCCAATAGCATAACAAAATGGGGTAGTAATCAATTACCAAAACACCTTTCTTTCTCTGGTTTCTCTGGTATACAAATTCCTTTGCCAGATGCTAAAATAAGATGCCTCTAATAATGTGCAGCGACTAAGCAAGACAACAGGCTATTGTTGCATCTAAAAGTTTGTACTATAACAGATTTAATATTACATAACCTTTCTGGACTAGGGAGCTTCTTTATCTGCCCCTTAAAACATGTTTTGGTCAATAGAATACACCATGTTATTCTGGTTAACAACGACAAATTATCCTTCTTGATAATTTGGCACTACAGCAAATCACATGTTCAGAGTGAAAGAAAAACAATAACCTTAAGTTAGAAAAGCTCTCCCAAAAATCTATTCTATAATATTATTTTTCTAGTTGTACTAACTTGAATTGCAAAAAATTATACATCCTGTTCCATACTATTGTTTTTCTTCTTAGACAAACATGAAAGAATTGAAATCCAATCTATATAATAGTTAATTCAATGTGTTCGTTTGCTGAGGTAATGGCCAGGGAATTAGATGTATTTCCAATTAATAAGATTAATAAGGAAGAGATCCTATACTAATTTGAGAGCAAGCTTCATTGAACTTAATAGACAATGCAGAGTAGATGTTCATATAATTTTGCTATCATTTTTTCTGTTGGGCAAATTGAGCCTTGTACTTTAAATGAAAGTTACATTACATGATATCTTACTGCCTTTTATATTTTTATTTATCATCATGATTGAAACATAAAACTCATGCTACAGAGGTATTAATGCTAATTGTTCAGAACTATAAGCATAAATAATTATGTTACACTTTCCAAACTCATGCTGAGGAACTTTTAAAAGTATCTTAATTTTTCCTATGCATAATTTAGAAATACAGTGTCCTCCAAGTACACTTTTAATAATCTTTATTAATGACATAACTAAATGCTTTACAAAACTGAAATATCATCTCCCTTTCAATAGGAATATGTCTTTTTCCCCTTTAAAAGGGAAGGTGAGTGGAAGATCATGACAAAAACATTCTTATGTTTTGTTTACAGATAAAGCCATCTAGGATATCTTTTGTTCTAAACATTATTTTTGAAAAGTTGAAGAAACTGCAACTTTTGAATTGCACTGGGTGATAGATTTCCTAAGGTGCCATTTAAAGTTCAAGTCAGGATAAATATCTGTATCTCATTTTCATCTAACATCTGCCTTTGCACATGACTTAAATTATGGGCACATATGATAAGATCAAGATTTCAAAGACACTATTTGGGGTTCGATGTGCAAAACATTACGCTTTCTTGCTTTAATCTGATTTGTACAATCAAGAGAAACCTGAGTGTTCTTTCTAGGAAAATCTGACATTAATAGATATAAATGGCACAATAACATTGTAATTCAGATATTGCTCTTGGGCTTCTTCGGCATTTTTTCTAAGTTGTTTGTTCTGATGTTAAATTCCTGGTGCAATGTTTAGTTAACATCACCCAAAGTCTAATTTCAGATTATTCTATAAAATTTTTCTATATAATGAGTTTTTAATTAAACACACCATTCTACCAATCTGCTATGCATATGGTAAATGTATTTCCACACATATTATGAATTGAATGATAATAATATCAATATTAGATAGCACATATATTAGATAGAAAGCATAATAGCTAAGTCTTGTCTTTTGCATACATGGAAAATTGTCTGATTGTCAGGTTATTGTTTTTGCTTTCATTAAAAATAATAAAATAAAATAAAATACATTGTAGACAATGAACAGAAATTTGGAAATATAGAAAACAAGAAACTGAAGATTAAATTTAATGTTTACTGTAATATGTAAGAAGGCTGTTTTTTCATGGACATTAATAGATGCAACCATTTAAACTATTTACATAAGAATAGATGGATTGCCATTCAATAGCCCTGGTGAAAGTGGACTTCCTGAACTTCTTAACCACATGATCTCCTACTCACAGAACCTCATATGATACATTTAATGTCATGGAATATATTGCAATGAATTTATAAGGAAATAGAAGACATCAGTTAGGGTGAGGCACTAAAACTGAAGAGTGGTAAGGCAAGTAGGTTAATACCATGGACAGAACCTGTCAAAGACTTGAGTTTCAGGACCATGGAGAGAAATCCTGCTCCTGCTAATTTTTAGAATTGATCAAATAGCAATGCCTTCCTATAAAGCAGTGTTTTTCAGTCTTGGTCATTTTAAGATGCTGGCTGGGGAATTCTGAGAATTGAAGTCCACACATCTTAAAGTGGCCAAGATTGAAAAACACTGCTTAAAAGCCAACAAAGTATTTCTGGAAGAACCATTTTCTAAGTGCTGTGATTGGCTATTGAACAGCCAGCAACCTTGTTCTGCTATTACTCACTTTTCTTGTGGTGCTGAAGTGAGAAACAAAGTGGAGAATATTTCTCAGGGATTTGCTGCTAAAAGTTTGAGAACCTCTCCTTTGAATGTGGGGAACAGCAGGACCACTTCGATAGGATGGATAGACTGAAAAACTGAAGAAGAGGGCATATAGTATTAGAGATGGACTCCGGTGCTTTATTGAATTTGCTGTCAGCTGAGTCTTCCATTTCTATTTCCCACCTAACAAGGAAGATCCTAAAGGTATTCGCATCCATATCATGACTAGCAACCAAACAGACTCATTATTCAGTAATGAGGTAGCAAATTCTTATTCAGTCACCAACTAGGGACTGACCAGGTCAACTCAGTAGTTTCTGCACAAAATCTAAGAGAAAAAGAATTTAGTTGCCCAGTATAACTCTGCCTGTCAGTTAATTATAAACATAGAATATTGAGTAAACTAATAATTTTTACTGGAAATGAAATAATGATTTTTTTTTAAATTTTGAAATAGTTATAAATATTTCTATCATGCAAGACTTAGGTGGGTTGTACTTAAAATCTGCCTTCTCTTTTATTTCTTAAGAAAAAAAGATAAAGTGGAAAGGCAGAGGACAGCTCTTGCCTTTATGTTGTATTCTTCTATTACTTACATTTATAGTAATTTTATAGCTGTTTTTCTTGTATCTTATGTCTGGGATTTTCTTCATGAGTCATAGTCTGAAATTTCAAGACATTAATACATGTTTCTGATGCTTAAAATAAGACAATATAGTTTCAGAAATTGAAATCTAATGTTGATTCCCACAACTATCCCCTTATTCTACCCCCACTCTTAGTCTAAAAAGGTAGTTTATTTTTAAAGTTACCTATTCGGGTTATGTTCTGCCTTGCTTTAAGCATGTATTTAGCCCATGAATATATAACCTGTCTTATCTCAAAGAGCTCCTGTAGCAAATTTAATGTAAAATAAATTATCTCATCAAGGACAGCACAAATATAATAAATATTAATCCTTTGAAACTTTTTTACATTAAAACTAAAAATCACTATTTGCCTTTCAACTTAGTTTATATATTATTATTTTATTTATCAATTGTATATGCTAGTCATCTCATGAGATGTAATGTAAAGCCAATCTATACATATGAAATTAGAATCCATAAGTATTAAAAGCAACAAGGCTATGCTGCAGCATTTTTGGCCATTTATTTGGTTATCCTTCCCTCTGTCTCTTTCTCTATCTTTCCATTTCCATGAACCTTAAACTATGATTAATTTTCACATGCCATTGCTCCTTCCAAATGAGTAAGATTGTTGATGATTTCTGTTTTGGGTCAAAATTAGGCAGATACTACTAAATAATGTATTGAGAAATTCCTTCAATATAACACTTTGCAGAATTATAAGAAAGTAGGTCTATACCTGCAATATAAAGTTTGATGGAATAAACAGAAGAAAATTATAATGATGTATTTATTTCAGCTATATGAACATAGATTTAGTGTTACTAAAGGATGACTGCTTAAAATGCGAATATCTTCCTTAAAATATTTCAGAAAGAATGTTTTTTTTAGTGGAATGTCTGAATTTTCAAACATTCTCAGTTACTAAAAGGTTTTCCTTTATTTATTTTTTTTCATGCTGAGGTTGTCTCATGTTATTCCTCTCACCCCATCCTTGTGGACCTTATGAGAACCTGGCTTCAGAAAAGTAGTTTCTTTTTATTCAAAAATATGTAATCCCCATATTTGTTGCTTCCTTGTTATTAAATGCTACTATAGAGTTGGCAATTACACCTTAGTTATGAAAAATAACCATCAATTTTATGTAATATTTTGAAGGTGTGACAACTAACAGTGGGACAGATTTATTCTTGTCAGTGATACCATTGTTGGGCTATTACAAAAAGGCCAAGGTGCAATTTATAAACCTCCTTTATAATGATACTATATATCAAATTTATAATTGATATAAATCTACTTTTATTTTTTCAAATGTGTTAATCACCCATGTATCCTGACTGTATGTCAGTATGCACATAATTTTAGTTGCAGGATATGGGCAGCAATATTTTAAAGGTAAATTAGGCATCCTAGCTTAGAATAAGCATATTTAGGATAAAATTAGAGTGCAGCTATAGGTATTCCTTGACTTATGACTGATCACTTAGCAACCATTCTCAATTACAATAGACCTTCCTCCAAAACTACTTCTGATCTTTTTTTGAAGTTCTGACTGACTGACTGACTGACAGACAGACAGACAGACAGACACATACACTCACACACATATACACACACTTGCAATCATGAGATTAAATTTTGGGTGCTTGGCAACCAGCTTACCTTTACAGCCATTTGGAGTATCCCACAGTTACATAATTGTGATTTGTGATGTTTTTTTTTTTTTGCCTGTTTCTGGCATTTACTTCTCATTTCTAGCAACACACACACACACACACACACACACACACACACACACACACACATATACCCACTCACACACTGGGGAAAACTGACTTCCTTTACAACTGTAATATTCATTTAATGACCACTAAAAAAACTGTCAAAAAATCAGGACTAATAACATAATGCTTTGACTTACAACTGCAATAACTTATAACCATAATTCTTCATTCACTTTGAATTGCACCCAGTATATATAGGTAGTGCAGCCTGTAAAGTAGAAGTGTTAGCTCAGCATAATAAGAAATGCACATAATTACCTATGTCACTACATTCTTGCTTAATTGAAGTATCAGGAATAGAATAGAATAGAATAGAATAGAATAGAATAGAATAGAATAGAATAGAATAGAATAGAATAGAACAGAACAGAATAGACATGTCAAAACCGCGACGTTACATGATGTCGCACAACGTATCAGAGCTTTTCCCCCATTGCCGGCAATGGGGTGGGCACGGTTTCCCGGTGGCACGTCTGGCCCATGGGCCAGCAGTTTGACACCCCTGGACTAGAGATGGAAGGGATTTATAGGTCATCTAGTCCAATCCCTCAGCCCAAAAGGAGACTCTACACCATTTCTGACAGATAACAGTCCAATCTCTTCTTGAAATCTTCCAGGGATGAAGCTCCCACAACTTCTGAAGGCAGTCTGTTCCATTGGTTAATTGTTCTCCCTGACAGAAAATTTCTTCTTATTTCTAAATTGAATTTCTCCTTGATCAGTTTCCATTTGTTATTCATTATCTGGCCTTCAGATGCTTTGGAAAATAGGTTGACCTCCTCCTCTCTGTGACAGCCCCTCAAATATTGGAACACTGCTATGATATCTCCCCTAGTCCTTCTCTTCTCTTCACTTCACTTCATGAACGAATGATTGAATGAATCTGGACCGAATACAAAATGAGTGACGGGCATAAAAGGTTTGTTGGGCAATGAAGGAAAACCTTTTAGTAACTGAGAATCTATAGGGAACAAATTGCAAAACAAATATAAGAAGGAAATATGAGTGAAAAGAAAAGGATATGAGCAGAAAGGAAAGACCAAGAAAGTTTAGGCTGAATGGAATGGATGAGCTTTTAAAAAAATGGGATGAAATGTTTAATAACGTACGAAGTGAAAGAAAAAAAGATGGAAACAAGGATGTTTTATATTGTATGAATAGCAAGGTATGGAGAGTTCTAGTGAAAGGTAGTGAATGCTACTAAATTTAATTATATTTTCCTTTCTTTTTCTTACCTCATAATTCAATTTATTTTGCTTATTACTACTTGGTTCTTCATTGTACTTTGCATAATAATGCTTAACTTGAAAGGGAACAGTTTTCTGGATAGGTAGCTAGGAAGCTTTTAACATATATTATACCAGAAGAGACAAAACTAGTTTTTTAGATGGTCAAATCAACTATTTCTGTTATTGCAGCACTGCAATGTTGAGTTAATAATATCTACTTAATAGAGTTGTTACAATGAGCCCTAAAACTGTGCATGTATTACAACACTTAATGATATATTCACCATTCCTATTCGTATACAGTATACTGAGCTATGAAGGAGAATAGTAGCTAATATAAGATAGCTGACATAGGAAAACATGTAACTGCACATTCCTGATGCCTAACTAATTAAAAAAATGCACATACATACAACATCCTAAAATCTTAATGACACATATATTTATTTTGTTTTATCCACATTTATTGTTTTATAAGTAACTCAACGCAGTGGATATACATAATATTTCTTCCTTCTCTTATAGTCAGCACAACAACCCTGTAAGGTAGCTTGGCTGACAGACAGTGACTGGTCCAAAGTCATCCAGCTGGCTTTCATGCCTAAGGCAGGATTAGAACCAGTGGTGGGATTCAGCCGGTTCTCACATGGTAGCTAAATTTTGCTGCATTCGGAGAACCGGCCTAATCTAGGCCTCGGAGGCCTGGAGGAGGCCTCCCAGGTAAAGAACAGCCCACCAGAAGTGCGTGGATGCCATTTCCGGAAGTCTGTTCTAGGTCTCGGAGGCCCAGGCCTGCATTGAATAAGAGAACTGGTTGTTCAGGTATTTGAATTCCACTACTGACTAGAACTCACAATCTCCTGGTTTATAGACCAGCACCTTAAACACTACATAGTACATGCACAGATACTAAAACAATAAATAAAAATAAGTATTAATTTAATCTTTTATAGTTATTGAGAACAGAGTTAAATTAATGGTATATATATGAATAATAGAGAAATTATGATGAGTGTTTTATTAAATTAAATAGAATTATTTTTGCAACAATTGCATGTACTTGGTTTTGAATTTAACATACTGTTTAAGTTCATTTTTATGTTAGGTTTAAAAATATGAAGATTACATTATTTCTATCTGTTATTAGTTATTAATTTTATACAAGCAAAGAGTAAAGTAGTGAATTTAATTCTTAAATAGATGGCAAATAGATATCATTTAAATAAGAATCTCTTCGTGATCAAAGAAGTTGATTTCTTCACACCAAGTTGCTTGCCTATTGCAGATTCAGTCTTCCCAGCCTGGTACAGGTCTACAATTTTGTTTCTGGTGTCCTTTGACAGCTCTTTGGTTTTCACCATAGTGGAGTTTGGAGTGTGACTGTTTGAGGTTGTGGACAGGTATCTTTTATACTGATAACAAGTTCAAACATGTGCCATTAATACAGGTAATGAGTGGAGGACAGAGGAGCCTCTTAAAGAAGAAGTTACAGGTCTGTGAGAGCCAGAAATCTTGCTTGTTTGTAGGTGACCAAATACTTATTTTCCACCATAATTTGCAAATAAATTCTTTCCAAATCAGACAATGTGATTGTCTGGATTTGTTTTCTCATTTTGTCTCTCATAGTTGAGATCTACCTATGATGACAATTACAAGCAAAGAGTAAGGTAGTGAATTTAATTCTTAAATAGATGGCAAATAGATATCATTTAAATAAGAATCTCTTCACTGGCATAGAAAATTTGAGAATAAGTCCTCTGTTTTACAAAATCATCAGAATTTTACATTTTTCTGAATGTACTGTAACCAGTCTCAGCCTAGGGTCTCATTCAGTTTGACAGGAGTACTCTGCTGAGAGTTTTGCCCAAAATATTAAGCCTACTGTATTGATATCACCAGAATGTTTCTTATAATATCTGTGATCTGGATATAACTGTTTTACTACTGCATCCTTCCATTAGCTACCAAGATCTGACTAGGCTTGTATAGGTGCAAATTAACTGATATTAATTTGATATTGGACC